TGTTTATATATGGAGAGGATATAGCAAATCTAACCAATCGCTGCACTGCAGAATTCCCTGTGGTTAAGATACATGTGTATGGCTTATTTGTGCAGATTTGGGGGAGAGGTGATGCTGAGTGTGCGAGAGAGAGAATGTGTGTGTGTGGGTGTGTGCGGTGTGCGTAGAGAAGGCATGGGGGTGGTACTGGACGCTCTAACCGAAACGTTTCCACCCTTCTACCCTTAAGGAATGTAAATAGTCCTCTCTATCAGGGTAAAACTAACTTTGTCTCTCATAAACCAGCAGGAAATGCCCACCTTACGCAACACAGATGCATTCAACCTGTACATACAAGCATGTACACACTCTCAAACCCAGGCCGGTTCTTCTGGTGGTGTGCAAAGCCTGTGAAAAATCATGGCTGTCACAGTAATAAAACCATCAAGATACAGCTGCCTCTCTCTCCTAATTAACTGCAATTCAGTCAGCTTTACCAGCACTACCATAATTTAGAACTGTGTTCTCAAAGCATTATAAGAATAACAAGAACTAGCATTTTCTAGTGTCTCAATGACTGCCATACACAGGCCTGACCCTAATCAGTTAAATACTTGAGTGTTTGTTCATTACGCTGGTATTCGGAAGCTTTGTCCTTCTTAAGCGAAACAACTGAAGCTAAATTTTACCTGCAAAAGCAGACAGACCGAGCAGTGACTGTTGATATATGAAAAGAACGCATTAAAAATAAATAAATTCTAGCTGTTGTAGCCGAATGCATCATAAATTCATGCCACACCACTTCACCACAGACACAGGCCCGTCGCAATTAATACATAATCGCCTAATCGCAATTAATTAAGATGATTGCAATTATTTAAGAGGATCACAATTATTTAAACTGACTGCAATCAATTTTACAATCATATGATGTTGCATCGAGCAAAATGTGAACTGGGTTGGGCTAAGTAACTGTAAAAAATAATTAAATGCATTAATAAAAACATATAATGAGGCATATGAAAAAATGAGCCCTCTGATGGTTCCCCCTTTCCGCTATTTACAGTTCCAAAATCATCAAAATAAATCTTCAGGGATTTTAGGGGTGTAGGGGTGTAATAATTCACAAATGTCACACTTCTATTCAATTTGATACGCTACAATGGTGTCTCAATTCGAAACATTTTTCGAACCAGCAAAAATAAGGAGTGGTTGAAAATGTGCCTTACAGTAATACAGTATGTTAATGTTTCCATTTTCAGTTTATTAGAGAATTTAACATTATAAAATTATAATGTTTGAAACAAAAGCTGCACTATTAGTGTTCCGACCTAATACTCTAGCCACAAGCTAATAAGCTAGCTCAACATTAACACTCTTGTCGCAATCTAGTCTCAGCTTCAGACACTCCTCCCACACGTAAAGGGAGCATCTGATGTCTCTGCTTGTTTGTCAGTTCCATTCTGACTGGCTGTCCACATGTGCAGCATATTTTATCAGTCCAACAGGAAACTTTTGCAAGTAGCTGCCTGCTCTGTTTGCCGTGCCTAAAGCTTTTTTACCAAATGCACATAATTGGCGGAACCACGTTCAAAGCAGTTGAAAAATCCACGATATTCCCACACCTACGACCGCTTCACAACAACTGAACTCTGTATTACTACGCCCCGACACAAAAAAACCCTTGTGCTGTTAATGATCCTTGACTCTCATGCTGTTCACATGGACCTCAGAGCATATTAATGAACTAAGAACCTGTTTTTTGTTTAAACTAACGGAATTGAGACTTATGTTCTTAAACTAGAACTAGGCTGGTCAGCTAGCTAACAGGCTAAAAGATAGCTAACAGCCTAAACAATGCCATCATTAAAATCACAGGCTTGAATTAAAGCACTTATGGTATGATTAACAGTAAAACGGCAATATAAAAGTCTAAAAATGTCACTTGAATGGATTACACGCTTCAAATGTACGTCATGTCAAACCCAGGCTGAATCCCAAACGGCTCTGTGTTCCCTAAATAGTAATGCTAGCTATGAACGTTTAGAAATTCTAACCTCTACAGTCAAACAGTGCATCATTTGTAGAGCATTGATTGATGAGTCCCAAATGACTTTGATTTCTTAGCTATATTTTGCACTGTTGGGCTGCAGGATCCAGTATTGAAATTCCAACGTAGTGCACTATATAGGGAGCATTTAAGATTCGGCTCCAGTGTGAGGAGAGGGGCATTGCTGGATTGGTGCTAAATAAGACTCTGTGGTAATTTGGTGACCAAAAAGTACTTATAAAGCAAAAGTCTTTGCATTAAACGGTGCTGTGTTATGCTCATTGTCACAAGAAAAAAAAAAGTTTTAAAAATTCATGAAATGACTGCAACATACAGCGACTGAATGCTCTCCTCATTCAGTGGTCCATGGTTGCTTGGCAAGAATACTGTACTCTAAAAGAATTACATTTCTTGGTGGAATACTTGTTTATGTTGATTATTATTAATAATAACTCAAATTATTTTCTGAACAATTGTGTATTTTATCATATTTCATGTTGGCTACCGTTTTATAAAAGCAATAAGCCACTTGAGAACATGCGTTACTGCGATTTTAACACAGGGAAGGGAGTTTTACTCCGCTTTGCGTCGTGCCTAAGAACACCCTTACCGTGATAAAATCGCAGTAACCCGCGGCCTCTCATGGCTTACTGCTTTAATATTCCCACATATCCTGTTTCATTTACAAGTGTTTATACACTATTTGCTGTAAAAGTGACTAGTACACTATGGACGTATTTGAGTGATAGGGTTCACAGTCACAAAAAAAAAACATTTGTTCAAAGTGATCAGGGAGCATACAGTACTGTGCAAAAGTTTACGGCACTGGAGAAAACTTTATTTAAAAAGCTGTTCATCTGGTCAGTAAGCATTCACACGCTCCGAAAAACAAATATTAAAAAACATGCAAATAACATTCTATAATAAGTAGAGATTTTACATATGTCAGCCACACAAACTCACTGCGTGATAAAGAGAAAGATCCATCATCTTTGTCTTAGTTTCTCTTTCTGTGGGCCTGTCTCAGCAAGCACAGGTTTCTCAGTTTCCTAATTGCCAGTAATTTAATCCTTCAGTTGAATTTCCTTATAAATATCATCTGTCCCCTCTAACGTTGTGAGAAGATAGAGAAGATAGCTTCGTCTGCCATGAAGGGCGCAAGGTAATTAAACTACCATCACACTCATACACAAAGGGTCAAGCCCAGGTCATTACATCAGCAGAGGTCAAAGTCCAAACTGACGGCATTCATACACCTGATTCTTGTAAAGAATGTCAGCGGCCCCATGAGACCTATAAGTTCACTACACTTTTACCTTCCATACAAACAGTGTTGCTTTCCCTACTAACTCTTGTAATGCTCTTAGCCTCACGTCTTACTCCCCGGGTGGCCCTGAATACAAGCATGTCCTTAATCTAGCTGAGCCGAAGCACAATATGTTGTAATCTAATAAAAAAAACTATAAAGGAGAGCACATTTTACCCCAAGCTGGCAATTGTTCCCTTCCCCACCACCACTATGCTCACAAACACACTGACTTAATTTTCATTCTGCTGTGTGGAAAACGCCTCAACATCTTGTTGGCTGATATTCTGCTCCCAGTTGGCCCAGAACCAAGCCAGTAGCTCTGCTCAGTTTTACTCTGTTTTTATTTAGCAACTGCAACCAAACTACGTTCTGATCTTCTCGGGAGGCGTTTCACAAAGCAGGACTTGTTGGTTGAGAAGTCAAGCCTGTCCAGTAGGTGGAGAGGTCAAGGGCATTCCTACTGGACAACCATCAAAGTTAGCTCATCTCTTACTGAGAAATTCTGCTTTTTGGAACACCCCCCACCTCTGAACACCTTGCTAGCCATCATGAGTCCTGAGGATGATTCAAGAAGCAGGATTTCTCAGTTACTCAGGTGATGTAAATCAAAAGTCAAGCCCTGTCCAATAGGAGGAGAAATCAAGGACATTCTTACTGCAAAATACTCACTTTGGGCTGAAGTTATGCAGCCTACTGGGAAATCTTGCTGTATAAAACACCCCCCTGAATTTTAACTGCTATTAATTTCCAGATTTTCCACTGCGCTCGAATTCCACATTAAGCCAACCAGCTTACTGTATATCATGGTCGCCTTGACCACACCCCCAGTTAGGAGGCCTCACCATCAACATGGCCCTAACAAAGACATTTGTGGCTGACTTTACTTATTTTATTTTAAATAAGGAAGTGTTTATTATTTAAAAATGCGTTTGGTTGGCTTGTTTTGTGATTTCCATACAAAAAAAAAAGAATTTGAAGCTCCCCAGTACCCCACGCTTGGATTTGGAAAAACTGTGTCACTGTTACTTTTGTGCTTTATGCTAACTGAAAACAAGGGAAACAATATTTAACAATATTTATAATTAAGATAACGTCACAATATGTCAAAATACTAGATATGGTCAGTATTTTAAGACACTGACAAACTATGTGTTAAAAAAGCATAATTAGTCCTTTGCTTGGATTAAGTGAGGTTGGTAGGTGAAATCCTGAATAAAAATAATAATTTTATTTAATAATTTGTCCTTGTGGTTTCTAAGCATTTTTAAAATGCGGCCCTTTAGGTAGTTTTTTTTCTGTTCCGACGTATTAAACCTCAAAAACACAAAATATCGTGACAAAGCGCTCTAGTGTAGCGTCAATTCCTGAAGTATCGCGATATTATATCTTCGCCATATCGCCCGCCTCTACTCTACATATTATAACCCCCCCCCCAGGTTTATGAGGACGTTAGCAGGTAACACAGCTAACCGAAACTCCCGCTCTTTCTGACGGACACTCCGGCCCGCCGTGACGGGTTGGACACTGCTTCGTGTTAAACACTTACTCAGCTGTTCTCTCCCTCCTCTCCGTCTCTCAACCTGTAGCTCTACCTCCTCAGCACTCTTCAGAGATAACAGAGAGAAATAAAAGGAGTGCGTGCTGTGAGTAGCCGCTCTTTACCTCTCTGCTCAGCTCTCTCGTGTCATAGCGGCTCGCGCTGCTCTCTCTCTCTCCCCCGCCGGCCTCGAGCGCTTTTACCGCATCGGTCCAGCACGAGCTTCGAGCACAAAGCAGCCTTCGGGAGAAACACAACACGCAGAGGAGTCCATTTTAATCCGCCTTTGTGTTTTTGTGCCAGATATCGATACGGCGAGCTGCTGTTGGCTACGCGCGCGTGAAGCCGACTGCGCACGCAGAGTCCAAACACTACGGTCATACACACCTACTCACACATACACACGCACGCGCACACACGCGTGCTCGAGCACTCATGCATACACGCACATCTCTAGTCGCTGTATATTTAATGCTTTAGCGGAAACTGGAGTGTGATCTCCTACCTGCACACGCACACACACATAAGCACGCACACACACTTACTCGACCCCCCGATGCTGCTGCTGTTGGATGACGAACACTGGCGCAGATGCGGCCAGGTTTCAGCTGCTGAACCGCAACCCGAGTGGACAGCTGGTCAGTACTGTCCACCCTGCGGAGTCGATTAAGATAGAGTGAGCTCTTACGTTCATCCCTCCATCGCCCGTTCTTTCTCTATCTCTCTCTCTCTCCCTTTGTATTTGTCTCTTGTCTCTCTCCCTTCCACTCTGCCACTCCACTTGCTCTCTTTCTCTCCTGCTGGCTCCCTCTCCTCTCTCTCTCTCTCTCTCTCTCTCTCTCTCTCTCTCCTCTTTCTCTACCCCTTCTCTCTCTCTCTCTCCTATCTATCTTTTTCACTCCTTTCTCTGTCTTTCTTTCTCCACTCCCCCTTTCTCTCTCCCTATCTCTCTTTCCCTTTCTCTCTCTCTTCTCTCTTTCTCTATCCCTTCTCTCTCTCCTATCTATATTTTTCACTCTTCTTACTCTGCCTCGTCTTTTTCTCTTTCTCCACTCCCCCTTTCTCTCTTTCCCTATCTCTCTCTTACCCCCCCCCTCCTCTTCTTTCCCCCCTCCCTCTCTCTCTCTCTCTCTCTCTCTCTCTCTCTTACTCTCTCTCACGTGTGGATCAACATGATCGCCTCAGTCGCCTCGCGGTTCTGTTGCTCTTACACAACAGCGCGCGCTGCTGCTCGGTCACTCGGCTTCTGCCACTATTCACATAGGCTCGGTGACGTAGGCACTATTCACCCTAACCTACAAATGGTGCAGTCTAGTGTGTGTGTGTGTGTGTGTGAGAGAGAGAAAGAGAGAGAGAGAGAGACTTTGTAACCTGAGGGCTGGCTCAGACTGTAACTCCAAACCACCTCGCCCTTGCCTCGCTCTGCCAACAGCGCGCGCATACACACCAACGAGTGTGTGCACCTGGTCACAGGTGTGCGGTTGGCGTAGATGCTGGAGCAATTCTGCCAGTTCAGTTCAGTCCAGATAACACAGCACATACCGACCATACTGACGTATAAAACACATTTATGCACTTTAGCTTTCATTCAGTTTCACATTTTTTCTGTTGTTCTTTCATTTATGAATGTCTATCTGCATATTTTTGCTGCATTGCTGTGTATAAAAAGTAAGTGATACACCAATCAGGCATAACATTATCACCACCTCCTTGTTTCTACGCTCACTGTCCATTTTATCAGCTCACTTACTATATAGGTGCACTTTGTAGTTCTACAATTACGGACTGTAGTCCATCTGTTTCTCTGCATACTTTGTTAGCCCCCTTTTACCCTGTTCTTCAGTGATCAGGACCCTCACAGAGCAGGTGCTATTTGGGTGGTGGACCATTCTCAGCACTGCAGTAACACTGATGTGGTGGTGGTGTGTTAGTGTGTGTTGTGCTGGTACGAGTGGATCAGACACAGCAGTTAAAGAGCAGCATAATGTTATGCCTGATCTGTGTATATACACTATTTAAAAAGATGGTTCTTCAAGGGTTCTTTAGTAAAGACAGTGGTTCTATATAAAGCCATGAACACTCAAAGAACCATTTGCATGCCTAAATGGTTCTTTGCATGGTAAAATGGTTCTTCAGATTGATAGAAAAAAGTTCTCTGCAGAACATTTTTGAAAATGGTTCTATATAGAATATGATTCATTATTATTATTATTATTATTATTATTATTATTAACGCTACATTTACTGTATATATTCTACAGTACTGTGCAAAATTCACCTGTGGATGGAAGTAAGAGTGGAGCCTAATTTTCTCCTCTCTCTCAAACATGAAAGCTTCAAGTGCTGTTTATCTGGTACTGTTAGTTTTGGTGTCTACCAGGTCCTTGGTTGTAAGGAGTCCAACTTTCTCTGTATCTTTTAACCACATTTATACTATAGTTTTGGAAAATCCACTGACTTTTGAAAAAAATCTATCTATTTATCTATCTGTCTGTCTGTCTGTCCTACACAAAATCCCAATTTTGAACATACTGTGTGTTCATGTGGTCAGGAACTTAAGAGACGGCTGGCCAGGCCGCCAGAGAAACCAAACAGTGTCCGCTTCCTTCCTCCAACAACCCAAATCACAAAACACTACAGAAGCAGCGTCCCAGAGTCAACCCCTCAGACCTACTGAAGATTATATGTTTAACGGTCACTTCTGAACTTATTCTGGTGTTAGAACTAAAGGAGTGCAGCCACAGTGCTCTTATTTTATTCAAAACAAGTTTAACCTGCTACACAAAACTGCACAAATCATGATTGTTTAATATAGTGTTTTTCCTTTTCTAGAAAATACATTATACAGTTACACCTCGACATTCCAAACAGGAACTGAGAACACATTTAAGATAAATGTGTTAATGACAACCCGACTTGTCCTTCACAATGAGACACAACCTCCGAATGTCATGTAGGCTACTTAGGTATTAGGAGCAATGCTTATTTTTTCTGTGTCATTGTTAACAGCATTTTTATCGTTTCTTATGAAGTGTGTTAATGCTTAATGCCTGAGCTGAAGATTTGACGCATGTAGCAACAGTAACAGAATTTTGCAAGAGGCCAATTGTGTGTTAATTGAAAAGAACACTGATAAAAGTTGACTAACAGTAGCAAGCTTTGTCTTGTGAAGTTATAAAGGTGGTTAGATAAAGTCTAAAACAAAACTAGAATCTAGAAGTGCAAATTCAAAAACGTTTTTAGTTATTTTTACTGTTATTCCATTGGCATTCATGTTCATGGGCCCCCGAGTGGCCAGGGCCCTGGGCTGGGGCACCTAAAAACCACTGGAATAAAGGAACGTTTTGACTAAAAAAACAAATTTACACATTTTCCCTCTTACCCAAAATGCAGTCTATAAACCAAGACATGTTTGTTGTATGAAGTAACTTCTTTAGCAAAGCTGTGAGGCTAATGTAGCTAGCAAGTAATGAAAGGCTGGGGTGCCGTTCAGTTATTTTTTTTTTAACATACCTGCGCCCACTTCGAAACACCTCTTGGATGTGCGTCACACTTAAGTTACACAAGTGGCCACTTGTGGCAGAAGGGGAGGAGGGGAAAGTGAGATGATTGGCAGGTTAGCCTCAGTGAGCTAATTGGCTAGCCTTGCAAACTTTTCAATGTAAAACATTTTTGGGAAACATTTGAACTTAACGTATGTAACACTGTGAGTAATTGCTTTGTCTGGCTAAAATTTTGTGTAGTGCCTTTCTTTTTGTTGTTAGCATGCTAACTAGCTAAAGCCCAGCAAATCGAATGCATTTCATACTAGTTGACCGCCATGGCGAATAGCTTTGTTCACCATTATTTTTGGGTTTGAAAAGACAATTGGGTCGGGTCACAGTGATGTCTGGGCAAGTTCTGCTGCCAAATTCGACACTAGGATATTCACTCATACCCTAGCCCCTCTGACAGCTCACCTAAAACCCTTTACTTGAGCTAATAAAGTAACAGAATGGCCCTTAAGATGGCGTTGAGGATTCCCGAGTAGAAACGACAAGGCCAGCTGAACAAGGGCTTGCTAAAATTAGTTTTGAATCAAGCAATAGGTCACTCAAAATGTTTTGAAAAGCCTTTCTTACATGCATTGCTTGTATGAACACAGAAGCAAGCTTGATTTTGTGCTGAACTACTGCTTTAAGAAGGCCTTGCAGCCAGTATAATTTTCCAGCCCACACTTTCAAGTGTGCACCTCCCACTAATCTGCCCCTTCGTGTGTTTTCACTGCAGTGTTAATCCTCCACAGATATCAGCATGTTACTCTCACGGTGGTCTTGTGCCACTGCAGATTAACTCTATAGCACTTAAACGGAAGGTGGCAGGTTTAAATTTATCCAGCGTCTCGGAATAACAGTGTTGAGGATTAGTTCCTCCTGTCAGCATGACTGTGTTTTTCAGAAGGCCACTAACCACCAAAGACAGATAATTGTAACCCCTAATGGTCAAATGTGTATCTTCTAGTGGTTTTAATATGCTAGCAAACAGCTGCCCACACGCCTCATTAAAGTCACCCACAGATCTGTGAATGCCTCGGAAATAAGGGAGTAATACCAAGGCGGCTCCAAACAGAGCAGGCACTTCCGAGGGCATGTGTCCTGCTCAGCAGAAGCCTTGAGGGATGAGTTGAGGTGATCACTGTTCACGTGCCACTAGCCGTCTACGTTCCTGCAGTGTTTACGTCTAATAATTGAGCTGATTAAGTGCTGGAGGAGCTTCTGAATTTTAGAGCCAAGTGTCTTAGTTTTCAGTTAGAGGCCAACTTTGCAGAAGGTGGATCTCCAGGAACTGGGCTGGGTACACTGCACAACAAATATGACCATCTTTTATGAGTTATTCACCAACGTAACAAACACAAAGCAAGCACTGAAATCTTTCTGTTCACTGTATGCACAGTTGCATGAAAACTCTAGGAACTACCTGCATGTCTTTGTGAATGGCTCCTCAAATAATATATCATTTTTGTAATAATTTTCACATCCGAATAATAAACAAACAGCATTGTAACACAAAGCATATACACTGATTTACATTACTATGTCTAAAATGAACAAATGGTTGAAACAAGCAAGGTCACTGATGAAAAAAAGTCTAAAATTACATAAGCTATATTACATAATAAATAAATTCATTTAAATATTGCAGATTTCATGTGCTATGTATACTGGAAATCCACTTAAATCACTAAAAAGTAAACAAAAAAACAAAAATCTTAAATGATTGCATTTTATTGTGCAAGTCTATTATACTAATCAAAGCATCATTTAGTAGACTGAGCCCAAATATCCAGATTACTGGACTTTAAAATTTATCTCAAAATTTGTTTATGCAGAAATAAATATGTACTATTTCCTTTTTTACCTAGAAGGACAACCAATGATTCTGCTGAAACATAAACGTGAGTGTGGTGACATGCCTGCTTCTGTAGAGCTAGAATACCTGGGAAAAAATGAGGGGTAAACTGGGTAGGGTGAGAACCCCATACTGAGA